TGGTCCATGCAGCTTCAAACCCATTATGACTGGTACGATTTATTAAAAGCTGTCATCGAACCTTCTGTGTTTTTGAGCTGGCAGTTGGCCTATGATGACCAGGCTGAGAATCAGTCCCATCTCAATCTGCAGTATGGCCTTAACATTACCCTAGACATGCTCACTGGTTGTGGTCAATTTATTGACCCTGTGTCTCAGGCCACAAATGGACTATATGCAAATATTTTATTATACAGCTAAATTTGACTAGAGCTTCAGTCATGCCATTACAGGCAGGCCTAATAACAAAAATCTGGGAAAATCTTAAAAGACTTTTTGATCCATCATGGTTACTAACCTATTTAATAGTAGGAGATGTGCTCCTCCTTGTGTTATTCATCTTCAGGTGCCTACTGTCACATATCGGTTGCCAGTGGACCATCAACAAAACAACCCTTCAGGTCCTCTTGGCTTTACAACATCCAGACCAGGGCCCTCCTCAGGAGGTCATGCAGGCCTGGCTAGCTCAGATACAAAAGGCCTCCTCCTAAACTAGCCCTCCACCCTGGCAGATCCCCCGAGACTATACCTCCCTCAGGGTTGGTAGAAAATGATGAATAAGATTCTACTGGGACAAGTCAACCTAAGACAGGACATGCATGGTCTAGATGCATGCTCCTATGACGGGTAAGGCTTATGCCCCAAGTAAGAACAACCTAAGACAGACACAACCCATAATATCAAGGCCATCTCGAGGCAGGCATGATTATGTCAGGCAGCACCCTGACTCCTGCTGGACTTCCTTTAAAAACAAAAGGGTGGAACTGTAGGAGGGAGTCCATGGGTATCTGCCAGGCACTGGACCAGGAGACCGTTGTGCAGGCATACCATTCTTCTGCAGCCAACTTCCTCAAACTGCTAACCTGATATCTGCCACGCTGGCTAGAGACACATGATGTGGCGGTTACACCAATGGACAATGAACAGCTCAGCCTTCAGGGCCAATAGGGGAGGTTCAGAGGGTATAAAGAAAAGCCCTTTGTATGCAATAAATGAGCTTGCTGGCAACCTGCTACTGACTAGCATCTCCCAAAAGTCTGAGTCATTGATTTCACACCTACTCATCCCCTGCCCCCTGAGACGGAGGTCTGACCACCACGAAACACAGCAACATCTGTGGGGCATTTTCTTGATTACTGAGTGATGTGGGAGGGCCCAGCCCACTGTGGGTGGTTCTGCTCCTGGGCAGGTGGGCCTGTGTTGTATAAGAAAACAGGCTGAGTATGGGCCAGAGGAGCAAGTCAGTAAGCATGGACCGTGCTTCAGCTCCTGCCTCCAGGATCCTGTCCTGAGTTCCTACCTTGGGCTCCCTGATGAACTCTGACCTGGAGATGTAAGCAAATAAACCCTTTCTTCCCCAAGTTGGTATTATTGGTCAGAGTGTTTCGACACAGCAATGGAGAAACAAACTACAACAGACAGCAAATTTGTTGGCTACAGATAAGACAGACATAGAAACTGAGGCATGTCAGTGCAGACTGGAGTGGGTGCAAGGACACTGGAGTGGGAGGACAGAAAAGATAACTATATTTGTAGGGCTTCCTTGGCTCTTAAGATACCATGTGTTGCCATGAGGGTCAGTGGGGTGGGATACCTCTTCACTTTGTAATGTCTGGGAGCACGGCTTTTCATGAATTCCCTTGACACAACTGTTTGCCTGTGATTCCTACTTTCTTCATTTCCATTTGCATCTGCCAATGAGATCTTTGCTCACTGAAATAACTTAAGACACACACACACACACACACACACACAGAAACACACATACCCTCATAGACACAGACACACACACATACACACATAGTCACACACAGAGACACAGAGTCAGACACACACATAGAAACACACATAGGGGCACATACATACAAACACACATTTACACACACACAAACATAATTTATTGACTATTCTTTGCACAATCTCAATAAGTCTAAGCAAGGATTTTAAGTCAATTTTTATAACCAATAAAATCCAAAGAACTATTGATTGTGGGAGACAGGCTTGAGCCTAGGGTGAAAGTCTTATTGACAGCCATACAGCAGGCCCAAGGCAATGGCCCAACCACTGGAGCTACAAGAAATGCCTTGTGACATTTGCTCCCACTGGCAAATGATCTCATGAGACTGATGCCTAGAGTGTGCCACTCCCTAATCACCACCCTTGGAATTCCAAATTGCAACACTTAGATATTGCAACAGTCAGGGTCATGTGGTTTCCAGGAATCCAGGCTCTGTAATCTGAAACCCATTATGCTAATGAGGCATCCTACCCTCTATTCTGTGATAGGACATTAAGTCTGTTATGCTAATAGGATGCTAAGTCTGTTATGCTAATAAGGTATCCTACTTGCTGTACTGTGATAAGACGCTAAACCTGTTATGCTAATAAGGTGTCCTACTTGCTGTGCTATGATTGGACCACTACCCCTATATAAGCTTGTGCCTTCCTGCAATAAAGCAGATCTGTGTCACTGAATCTGGTCTCCTGTGTCTGAATGCGGCTCCCGACACAGTCTCCTCACCAACCCTGGGGTCCAGGACCAGGCAGAAGCAGTGACGACAGAAGATGGCACTGGGTGAGCAGAAGAGCGGCCTCAGCCCAGGGTGAGCGGAGGAGCAGCCTCCCCATGAGAACAAAGGAATGGCGCCCGTGAGAATGGAGGAGCGGCTGCCGCTGGCAGTGACTGCAGATGATATTGTGAAGTTTCAATCTCTGAATTAAAGACATGAAATGAAACAGAAGCTGTGCTGTTACCATGCGTTGGGTTGGTCCAACCAATGTTGATTATATATGAAGAAAAAAAATGGTATTCACATTTTTACAAACCATAGCAAGAGCTATGGAGTACAAACATTCGTTTATAGATATATTGACATTTTCATGCAGTGATGGGGGTAGGATGTAGGCTTTATATATGCTAGGCAAGCACTCTACCAACTGAATTACAGCCCAGCCCATCCATATCTTGAAATTTTAAGTGATACTCAAATATATCAAGTAAATGTAATATTTGTTATATTCAAAAATATTAAGAAGCTAGAGAATGCAAATGCCCTTAAAATAGAATTCTAAAGCATGATAACCTTTCATGAATTGATTATTATATTGAAATAATCATAAAACTTACTATATATGTTGAAATATATATTCTATACATAAAATTGAATTCTCCTTAATAAGTTCTATGTGACTATTCTTCATTAATCCTAGATGTAGAGTTGAATGTGGACCAGAAATCATCTCAGTGACCAGTACTTGAGAAATCTAGACAGAAAGCAGAGTCTACTTAGCTGAATATTCTTACCCTGTGTGCTAAGAGACAGAGACTTGTGAGGACACCAGGAAGTAGATCTATGAACAAAGTCACAGAGTGGCTGGCCAGAAGTGGTTTGATGTCACCACAATCTAATGTTTTTGATGATGTCATTCCTCCTCTCTCACGATCAGTGTGATTGATATCATTGTTTCTAACCTGCAAATTTTCCCTCCGACTAGATTCAGTCCTAACCCGACAACATTAAACAATTCTGGTAAATAATGAGAATCAAAAGAAGATTGGGGGCAAATACTGTACCACACTAACAAGCACCTGCAATTTATAAGTATTTTTGTGAATTTATCCCCAGTATCTGTGCGTCACTGGATGGAAGCTCTGTGAGGACATGGACCACACTGATTTTATTAGCAGCTCCCTTCTCAGTGCTTAGCTCATTCACCACAGATGACCACTAAAGACTTAGCGAATGGTGGAAATGTTCTAAATGCCCCCTGCTCAGCCACGTCTTTCTTCACTGTCAGATGTCACTTCACTTTTCCAGCTCTTTGATAGGGTTCAGACACTACAGTCATTCGCAAGGGCTGTAAACAATACAGAAGATGAAGAGAGCCTCAAACCTTGACTTCCTAGAAAAAGAAAAATGAAGCTTGAACAGCAGTGTGCTGCCAATGTTTTGTTCAAATTCTTGGAAGTTTTTCCAGAAAGTTTAGTATCCTAGAACTTTGGAGGCTTATTTGAACATTTGAGATGACTTCATACTTGATCAACGGAACCAAATGAAACCAAATGAAATTAATGAAACTAAAATTATTATCCAAGTGCAACTGGCTCCAAGGAATTGGAGCCTATATCTAGCACTGATATCAGGCCTATAAATCTGTGGCTAGATGGCCACATGCTATAGTGGAGAGACTACAAATATTATTTTGCTAAACAAACATAGGATTAAACCCATTACTAATGACTTGCTGTTATACCCATAGATTAATGCATCTCTCAACTCTCACCAGAGAAGCTTCCTCATGCAGCAGCTGTTGATTAACTCAGAGACCATAACTTGCCAACATGCAAAGAATGAGAGACTGTAGAGAGCTTATCCCCGAATAGGACACCTATAGCAAACTTCTGTCTCCCAAGGCTAAGGGATTATTGCAGAAGAGGGAACAGAAAGATTGTAAGAGCTACAGGTGCTGGATGACCACAAAGAAACAGTTTTCCTGACAGCTGTGAAGTTGCCCATATGAATTCACAGCAATGACGACAGCATGCACAAGACCCAGGTAAGCACAAGCCAGACAAAATCCCAGCGTAAGTGGGGACGTGGGGACAAGGCCTTAACTTTAGCTGAGGACCTATTGACAGCTGGTACTTGCCGGGAGAGTCAGTTTTCTCTAAGGGTATAACTCTGGATAGGTTAGCCTGTGGAAATTGCAGATCCTAATGCACAGCTTAGATATATTTTATCATTGTCAAAGTAACCATCTCTAATTTTACTGCCTGGTTTATGATTCATATAATTAAATATTTGTCAAAAGGGCTAATGTAACATGAATTATTCTTTTTTCTCAACAACTATGCAATTAACTAACCAAAATTTTCTTTGAAATATGTCAATTAATTTTTCTAGATTCTGTATAGAATATCAGAGTTGAAAACTAAGTTAATGATGTCCAGATTCTTTATGCACACAAGATTTCCTCTTTAACATTCCTGAAATTTCCTTTTATGATCCTTTCCCAAATCTCTGCTGGGACCAGGAAGACAAAGGACATTCATGCTGCTGTTGGGGAAACCACAATCTGGTAACAGTATTTTCATTTTTAAAAATATTTTACGAATATTCCACACTACATGCATGTAATGTGTTTGGATCAAATCCACCCATTCCCTCCCTTCTGATCACTCCCCTATCTCTCCACCACTTTTTCCCTCCCTCTCAATTTCATTGCTATTTCTCTGTTTTTAAATAAATACCCAGAGTCCTTTAGTGCTGCTGTATGTGCATAGGTATAGGACCATCCACTGGATCATGGGTAACCTCTCATAGCCAACGCTCCTGGATAAAAAAACCCTGACTCTCCTTTCCCCAGCAGCAATCATGTGCCAATTGCTTCTCAGATAGGGGTGGACTTCATGAGGCCCTTCCTGATCCATGCCGGGATTGTAGCTGGCGTGATCTGTGCAAGCCTTGGGCTTTGAGTCCATGTGTGTAACTGTGCTGTCATGTTCAACCAATACTGCTTTGTTACAGACAGCTACTCCCTCTGACACAAGCTTTCTGCCCCTTCTGAAGTGATCCCGGAGCCTTTGAACAGGGTCTTGGCAATGTAGGTATTAAGGCCAACCATTGACAAACAGGACCCCAGGAAACAAAAAAGCTTCTGTAAAGCAGAAGACACCATTATTCGAGTGAAGAGGCAACCTGCAGAATGGGAGAAAATCTTTGTCAGCTACACCTTTGACAGAGGGCTGTTGTATAGAATAAACAAAGAGCTCAAAAAAAACTAAACTCTAAGGAAACATGGGGCACTGCTGTGTAAGGAAAGCACTGCTTTGTTGTAGTCCTCTACCGCTGCTGGCTTTGCAGCCTTTCTGCCCCGTCTTCCCAGATGTCCCCTGAGCCTTTGTGGGGAGGGGTATGGTGTGGTCATGTCATTTAGAGCTGAAGACTCCACTGTCTCTTATTCTCTTCATGTTCACCAAAGCTCAGCATGGAGAAGCGAGGTGGGCACCAAGCCCCAGCCCCACCTGAGGAACTGTTGGCAATTTAACTACTTGGGGGGGTCAGAGGTGTGACCTCTGGTAGGTGGACCATGTTCCAGGGGATGAACCTACTTCGGTCAGCATTTGGAGAACACAAATTCAGCTTTATGGGATTTAAAACAAGAGAGGATACAGAGTATGTCTGTGTGTGAGAGAGACAGGAGTAGATCTGCGATGAGATGGGGAGGAGGTTGAACATGATCAAAATATATGAAATTCTCAAAGAATCAACAAAAATATTATTTTTAAGAAATTGGAGCATGAAGCTAAATAGTGTGGAATACAAAAGAAGAAATACAGTTGACCAACAAATATCTTTAAATTAAATGTTCAACATCCTTAGCCATTAGGAAAATACAAATTAAAAGCACATTGAGATTTCTTCTTACCTCACTCTGAATGGCTAAGATCAAAAGAACAAATGGCAGTAAATGCTGGTGAGGACATGGGGAGAGGGGAACTTAGTCACTGTCCTTGGGGATGCAAACTGGTGCAGCCACTATGGAAACCAGTGTGGAGGGTCCTCAACAAGCCAGACATAGACCTACCATGTAATAGAGCAATACTACTCCTGGGAATACTTCCAAAGGACTGTGCATTCTACTACAGAGGTACCTGCTCATCCATGTTCATTGCTGGTCTGTTCTCAATAACCATGAAATGGAAACCATCTATATGCCCATCAACTGATGAAGAGATAATGAAAATGTGATTTGTATACACAATGGAATATTATTCAGCAGCAAAAAATGAAATTCACTGGTAAGTACATGGAACTGGAAATCATCATTCTGACTGAAGTAACCCAGACCCAGAAAGACAACCAAATGCCACATATTTCTTCTCATGTGGATGCTAGCTTCAAAGCATTCAATATTTGTGTTTAAATTGGAGTACCCATAGAAGGTGTGCAACCAGTACAGGGCCTTGAAGGTGAGATTTAAAATGACTGTGGATAGAAGATAGTTGATACTCAAGGGTAAAGGAAATAATGGAACAGGGAGGTTTTAATGGGGTGGAGAAGGGAAGGACAGGCCAGAGAAGGGAGTATGAGGAGGGATAATTAACACTAAAATTAATTAATACTATGAAAATGTCATATTGAAACCCACTACTGTCAAAGATTTCTAATATATACACGTACGCATAAGTAAAAGAGGTTAATGGAATTACCCTATGATGGGGCACAATGCCTCTCCTAGATACCATAAGCTGTCAAATAAAAAGCCCAGTGCCAGGTATGGGCTGTCTGTTTTCGAATTGTTCATCAGTGAGGTCCCATAGACCCCTCAAACATTACAGATGTCATTGCTCTTGGGTACCCTCTAGAACTTGATGGTAAGACCCTGTTGCTGAGACACCACATACTTGAGTCATAGGACATGGAGAAAGAAAGTTGGTTCCGACCTGAAAGCGTCATCCCTACTAGCTAGTTTTCATAGTGTTGAACGGTTGTATGTATACCATACACCACCAGGGGAGAAAAGTCATCAAAAGTCTTACTCAGCTGTCAGCACTAGAAGCTTCAATAACTGGCCTGGCAAAAAATGCCCACTGGTGCAATAGTTGAATGAACATTAGGGGAGTAACCAATCACTTTCTGATTGGATTTAAGGCCAACTCCACAAGACAGAGCTCTTTTTATTATTTATCTATTTATTATCTTTTCTCCCCCTGGAAAATAAAGCTTCATATAAACTAGAACACTGTCATAGCTCAAACTCCCTCTCTGCAGCTCTTAGAAAGAGTCCGACATGCCATTTAGGTATTCCATATGTATTTGTCGAGTGGAAGAAAGAATGAACAAACTTAAAATTGATAGTCATGATCCTCAGGTACTACTATAAAAAAGTTGCAACCAGGTTCCAACAGAATAAACAAATTATCTTTCTAAGTAGATTTTGCTACATCTAAGATCAGGCAATACTAGAAATGAAGATATGAAATGTCTATATTTCAGAAAAGCAAAATCATTCTAAAACCATTAGAACAAAAGTGAGAAAAGAAAGCTCACCTTATGATTGTTTGGATTCGAATTGCTCTATTGAATTTACTGCACTGCGTTAAATTAAGAGAATATTACTGAATTTCTACTATATGCTAGTAACTGTATGAGATGTGAAACACTCAGACCATTTCTTATAACTCGTGATGTGTGGAATCTGCCTTAACAAGAGTCAGGTTAAAATACTGTGATAGAATCGATTATTTAAATTTAACAGAAGGCTGTTCACAGAGCTCTGCAATGTGGTTTAGAAAAAATTCACATGTGGTGTTAGTAGCTATCAGATTAAGAAGAGTCTGTGATAGGACCTAAATAATGAAAGTGCTTCGTTTGCCTTATTGAAGTTTATACCCTGTCAAAACCAGAAAATGTATTCTAAGAATCAATTCAAAAAGACTAGCAATTACAAATCAAAGTTGTAAATCTTAAATCAAGATGAGTTGTCTAACAGTTGAAAAAAAAAGTTTTGGAGAATCATGCTTCAGAATGCTCGATGACCACGTGCAGGGTAGTGTATGGTAGCTTCCTGTTCCATGTTGTGTAGATTATATTACATAGATGACAGCTGCAGTGGAGTTCGGCACTGTTGGGCCATCAGTGATAAGTAGACACAAAGCATTGAACATCAAGACAGTCTAGAAAAACAAAACAAAACAAAACAAAACCCAAACGAGTCATTGTAGGTAAAGGAGTGTAGCAAGAGCGCCCCCTCGTGGCAAAAGAACGTTGCTTTCAAGTAATAAAGCAAAACTTAATACTAACCATGGGTAGGGTTTGACTGTGCTTGAAATTTCACAAACGGCATGTACTATGTATTTGTAGAATCAGACTGCTTTTACTCAACATTCTTTTTGTGAGATCCATCTATACTTATTGCATCCGAGTTGATTTGTTCACATTGCTCTCTCTATACTAATCCATTTTCTGAAAACAACCATAATGTATATATTTTATAATTAACGAGCATTACACAGCTTTAAGTTTGGAATTATTTTTTACAAAAGATTTATTTTATTTTTATTCACGTGTGTGTGTCTGTGTGTGTGTGTGTGTGTGTGTGTGCGCGTGCGTGCTTGTGTTGAATCCTTGGATCCCCGGAGCTGAAATTACAGGTGATTGTGAGCCACTTGACATGGTTGTTGGGAAGCAAACTCTGGAGCTCTGCAAGAGGAGCAAGCACCTTTTAACTGCTAAACCATCTCCCGTCCCAACTGGATATTCTTTTTAAAATATTTTACTTGTTTTTATTTATTTTATGTATATGTATTGCTTACACGTATATAAGTGCACCCATTTCATACAACGCCCATGCAGGTAAGATAAGGGCATCGAAAGCCCCTGGAACTGGAGTTAGGGATGGTTGTTAGCTACCATGTGGGTGCTGGGAAACAAACTTGGGTCTTCTGCAAAAGAAGCCAGTGCTCTTAACTACTGAGTCATCTTTCCAGTCCTCCAGTTTGATTTCTTATAGTGTTTCCATGGACAATTTTTATACATCTTCTTTTATGAACACATGTATTAGTTTGCCTGTTAATAACTAGACTTGTTGGCTTATTATGTGTACATATGCTTATTTTACATTGAGATTGCCCACCTGTTGAGAATAATTATATCTATTTATACTTTCACAATAAAAATGCCATGCTGTATTCTAGGCAACGTTTGGCTAGATGATAATCATCATATCATTAATTTTTATCACTCACCATGGAGAGTAGCACCCTTCACTGAAGCATCTTCATGTGTAGGTACATGTGTACTTTGTCCTGGTTTGCTCACCAAGGGTCCTCCCCTGTGGCCTCCTCTCTTCTTGCTGGCCCTCCGTCCCCAAACGATGCCCTGTCTGCTTTCACGGCACGTATACTCCATTGCTCTCACACTCCCCGACTTCTGAAGATCTATCCTTCCGTCTCATAGTATCTTTTTAACTTTTCATGTCCCACATATATGTGTTTGTATATGTGTGTGTAAGATGTAAATGTAGAGCTTACATCTGAGAGAAAACTCTCAGTCCTTGCCTTTCTGAGTCTACCT